TGGGGTGGCTTGACAGAGATAGTTAGCTTATTTTTTTTGCTGGACGTTCCGTTTGACTTGTTCTCAGTTCTCGGAAACTTCCACAACGCTGAGAATTCTTATATTTAATATATATATATATTATATATATATTTCATTATATTTCCTATTCACCCAGCATTCAGGATGCCCCCCTGAGAACCACAGCATCAACCACCCCCCTTTCACCCCTTCCTTCGGTTCAGTAGTGATGTCACATGGATGTCACTCTTCATTGGTCCAAAAACTGAGAGGAGGCATGAAGTCCAATCCACGTTTCAACGTTTCAGGATATGGAAGTGTATAAAACATGGAAAAAAAAACAGCGGTCTCCCTATTTTGATGCAACCTCCGTCTTTCACTGGTGGAGTCACTGAACAAATTCCGCATGGAACGGCTCAGGGAGAGCCGGCAGAAGCACGAAGAGTTGGTGTTGCACATGTTCCGCATGAAGGTGGAACCCGATGGACTGGTGGGTGTTTTCACAGCGCCAAGGAATGGGTGTACGGTTTGGGCAACCGGTGCTTTAAGAGGTTTTATGGAGAATTACTGTAGACTGTACTAAGAGGGTTCATGGAGAATTAGACTTATCATGCTTATAATATCTTTAAAATATTGATACGATATGTTTGTATATAGTTGAATGCTGTTGTCGAAGATGCGGGGATGGGAATTCAGCTTCGTGATTCCGTGTTTGGAATGTTAATGGGACATACCAGAAGCCCTGAAGAGCATTTTGTGCGGAGCTTGGATGCGATAGGCAGTCATCAGGCTATGGCTGCAAGCCATAGTGTGCCATTCAAACCAACTGGTACAGGAAATCATAGCAAATAATGAAGTACAGAAGACCATCTCCACTACCTAAAGAATAGTTAGATGAAAACAAATTCGATCACACCTGGTCAGGGGAGTCTACAAACCACCCGGGTCCTGGGTGGTGGATCAACTCTGGTTGCTCCAGCTAAACATTCGACTCCAGGCCTTGGAAGAGCACCTCAAGGAAAGCAGAAAGCCCAGGCCGTCCTCGATGTGTTTGGAACGGCTAGAAGATGGTCGACTGCGGCGAATTTGGGCGTCGCAGTCGCGGAAATTCGGCAGAGTTTGTTTGCAACTTGTGCTTTTTCTGCACCTACACTTTAGAATGCCCAGTGGCCTTTGTGTGGGCCTTGGATTTCTGGAAAGAGCTGAGGAGCCCCGACTCCGAGATGTCTAGAGTTCGGAGCATGTCAGACTCGGAGATACATTCATGTAAGTACAGATGTTTGGCCCAGAGAAAATATGAGTGTCTGCTCTTGGTGACCCTGGTGTGCAACGGCCGTTGTTCAGGTGGCGGTGCCGCTGCTGCTCCTTCTGCCTTTCTGTCATGGCTCGGAGCCATAGTTTGGTCATGTTTGGTCCGCCATTCGATGCGCTGTGGAAAGCAATAGCTGAAATGTCATGACATGTCTACCTCACACGCAAAAAACGGAACTATTCAGAGGTTGAAAAGACAACCTTCATTCACGTTCGGCGCTTTCTTTCAAGTTGAATGTTTGAGAAAGTGATGTTGAATGACCCCATCCCCTGCTTCGACGACGTGCGCAGGAGGCACTCATGGACTGTGGTTTGATGGGGGGAGTGTATCCCCAATTTTCCTGTCAAGCTCCCCACTTGCTATAGCTCAAAAGAAACACGTCTGAGACTGCCAGGGGACAATCATGCGTGGTTCGGCCATGTTTCGGCCATGGTTTTCCTTTCACGAATCAACTTAGATGATACCAACAATCTCACATATAATATCCACATCAAAAACTTGGATGGCCTTTTTTCATCTTTTTTCCTTTTCATCCGACTTTTCCTTTTGAAGAGTCCTCCACATCATCCCACCTCAGTATTCGCGATGCGACACACTCGCTGACGTCAGATGAGCCCCTTCCGATGCTGTGCTGCGCGCTACAAGGGTGTGCACCAGACCGTCCGGCGTCCCAAATGAAGCCAACACTGGAGGTGAAGAGCTCCCGTCACTTAATGGAGGATCACTTGCGTTGTTTTGGGAGTTCTTTTCCTGCACTTACTTGGCCAATACACATGTTTCGACCTTGCAGTTGATCTTTAAACCTTTAAGCTTCTTTGAGGTCACTATGCCATTATGCAAAGAAACCAACTCGCGGAGTCATTGATGGAGTTCTATTCTAATCATTGGCTTCTTTGGGCAGTTAGGGTAGGGGTTTGGGGCAAGCTAGGTGGCCCATGTCTTGGTCAAAACGGACCACACTGGACTCAACGACTGCAGCAACTATGAATGTTTCAGAAAGGCCCACGGATGGGAGTACTATGTACCACAATTGTTTCTGGCTACATCCCTCTAGCAGGACGTCCACCACCCTGACCATGGGGTCCTGGTACCCATAGAGCAGACTTCTGCTTTTTGGATCGTCTCCTCCACCAGTTTTTCTGCTCCCGTTTGTGCACGATTGTTGTAGAACAAGTCTAGTGACTATAGTGGTCAGAGCCCCGAAGAAAGCCACACAAGAACGGCGTTTTGGCAGGCTGCGTTTTGGCGGAGCCCACATGAGGGGGAGGCGCCGGAGGAGTTCCGGCGCCGGCGGATTGTAGGCCGGACCAGAAGCTGAGAGAGTCTGGTGTGAGTGTTCGTTGGATCCCCAAAGACTCAAGAAATAAGCTTAAAAGACACTAAAGACATCTATATAAAGACTAAAAGCCAATTAATTACGTCGGTCTTCATAGTTCAATGTTCAAAGAACACCTGGATCTTAGTTCAGATGCGGCTTTTGCCAGCTTTTGCCAGCTTTTGCCAAGAGCTTGGAGGCAGATCATTAGCTGTATGAGCCGCAGCTAACGGTTTGCAGCTGGGGGATTCTGGTGGAATTTGCAACGCATCGAACCTCTTCATGCCGAGGGTTCTATGTCGATGCTTTTGTTCAAGTCAAAGGCTGAGGGTTCTTCCATACGCAGGTCTTGGTACTGTAAGAGGATGGTTTCAAGAAAGAGGGAGAATCAAGACCGAACAGGCTCAAAACAAGATAAAAACAATAATAGAGGATCTGCGGTGAGACCCTTTGCTATTTGAGGCCCTCTGACCAGCCCTTTGCATCCACTCTCCAATGATCCATGTGGGTTCAGCGTTCTCCTTGCAAAATGAGAGCCCCCAGCGTTCTCCTTGGGGGGCCAAGTCATTCATGAGATGGGCAGATGTGAAGAGATGTCGGAGCCCCCTTGTCTCGCTCTTCCCTGTGTCCCCCATCCAAACGGGTCGGCGTGTGAGGCCTTTGGGGATTCCTGGACAGTACTGGGTGGTACGTCGGGTGCCCAGCAGGTCTGCGGTGCGGCTTAGCGGATCATCCTTCGGAGGGTTCCCAGAAAAGAACAACAAAAGCCATCCGTGTGCGAATTTCCTCTAAAAGATCGGACAACCTGGGTTGTCTCATATATATATATATATAATTTGTAATAATGCAAACAGCCTATATAATGTTCTTGTGGACAATGGGCCTCCCAGACAGGCCCTAATTACTGGGTCTCTTGATGAACATGGATGTTTGTTCTAGGGATTCTAGGGCAACAGACAGAAGCTGCCTTTTGATTTGCATAGGCTCCAGTGGCTCTTCCGGCCGATCCCAACGCGGGGAGTGTGGCCGATCCGGTTGAGCTATTGGCTTTCGGCACCCTGTGAAGCACAACATGTTGTATAAGCCCTTGGGGATCCAAGTACCTTCTCAGAAGGTACCTACATAACTCCGTCTCCAATCACCTTCTGAGAAGGTACTTGGATCCCTAGGGAAGAATAAGATTGATATCAAATACAAGTCAGCCAGGGCTGTGGAGCTTTGTGGCAAGATGATTCGGCCCAACGGCCTTGTCGAAGGTGATTTGGTGGGACTGTTCATTGGACAATGCGGATCCTGAACTGCACCTTTGCGACGGCAAAAGCTAGCAGAATAAGTCGTATTTCACGTTCTTGAAGCCTCACAGTCACATGTTCTGATTCCGGCAATGTTCTTGTTCTTGTCCTTAGTTGTTGTTGTTGATTTTTTTCCCCTTGTTGTCGTCGTCGTCCTCACAAGTATCACATTTTGGAATTAAGGTCTTAACTTGCTTCAAACATGCAGTTTCCTTTTCTCTCCGCTCACTGTGCTCACATTCACTCAACTACGTGCTTTCGTTCGAACACCAAACACCAAACACCTGGCGCCACGGTGGCGCAGTCACGTCCGCAGTCACGTCGCCCAGGTGGCGGCGCTCCAGTTCCGTCGGCACGCGGAGGGCGCCGGTGGCTTCCAGCTGCCTCACTTTGAGGCCGTTTTGGGGCCGACCTGTGAGGCTGTGAGGAATGGATGAAGAAGGGATCTGGGGCAAACATCAGGGGGTGATTTGAATTGGGATGAAGAATCGGATGATCCATGTGGGCGGAGGAACGACTCCCAGGCGAGGTTGGGACGAGGGGCCTGGCATCGGCATCCGAAAGGCGAGACGTGGACGGTCACAGCGATGTGAGGGATGCCTTGACTGTCACAGGTTGAACTCCACACGCTCGCAGCTGCCAGTGAGTTCAGAGCAGCCATCGAATGAGAAATGAAAGACCAACAGGATGTCAGAGCATCAGCAAGTGTGAGGCAACCAAGCATGTGGCACAGCCAAGTGCTGTTTCTATGTTTTCACAGTTGAACATTGTCAAACTGACAGCTGGTGATGGATACTGTTGGCAACGTCATTATGTATTCTGTTTTACTTGTTCTTCAGATGCATACATGCATGCACACCATGTAGTATCTACTGATTTCACCCTTTGACCTGGGCAACGTCATGACTCGTGGTATATCCCGAAAGTCTTCTCGAGGAGGTGTGAAGTTCCAGCGTGAATTCTTTGTATGAGTTGATACTGCATTATAAGTTTGGTGCCCGTTTAGTTATTTTTTAAAGGAACCCTCTGATTCTTGCTGGTTGACATGGAGAACCCAGTCTATCCCAGCCTCGGAGCGACCGGTCACCACGCCTCGCCCACTCCATGCCTAATCAACGCCTGGGCGGTCTGACGCCATGGCGCTTCTGGCATGGCTCCGAAGCACCGTGCGAGCGCTCTTGCTCCGACTTTGTGCTACTTGGAATGATGTGTCAAGAAACGGAGCAAGTATGCGACGAACGGGGCTCCAAACGCATCGCTACGAACGGAGCAGCGAATGAAGAACCCCCATCGCCGACAAAAGGGGTCCGCCTGCTTCACCTCCATGGAAGGCAAGGGCCCCCGTTCCAAAAAGGGATGAACAAAAAGGACAGTCCAACAGCATGCAAGCCCCGTGGGCCATGAACCATAAGCGTGCCACTTGAAGGGTATGAGAGAGAAGTTCCCAGTCAGTTTGTGTCTTGTTGAAATTGCTTGACCCTAGCTGTGGAGTATCCATTTGCCTGGATTCGGCGGGTGCATGGGCTGCCAGGTGTGACTGACACTTTCGGTGTCATGGGCTGCCATGGCTTCGAGACAAAAGACGGACGTATAGACCCCATTCCTCCCCACTGACGGACCCGATCGTCGCTGAGAAGTGATCCCTTTCTAAACACACTTTTGCTTTGTACTTTTCACTGAAGAATAAGGCTTCATGCTTCGGAACGTGAAATTAGGATGACATAGGAATAGGACGGACCAGATAAAGTCCCTTTACGACGTCGCAATCTTCGCCGATCCTGCCCGATGGCGCAGTCACCGATCGCGCGGCAGTGGAGTCCATTTTCATGTTGCACTCATGGGCAAGGACGCTACGAGGGGCTCCTGGCATCGCTACTAGGAACAAGAAGCTACTATGGGGCTCCTGGCCGTACTACTAGGAGCAAGGACGCTACTAGGGCTTCACAGAAGAATCTTACTCACTTGCAGGTTTGGACACGCCCCAGTCGGTCGCTGATCAGCCCCAGGCGGCCTTGGCAAACGCAGCTGTGGCCTTACCTGCAGCCTCATCCCAGGAAGCGAGCGAGACTAGGCGAGGGGGAGGCGTTCAAGACCACAGGAAGTGCCAATTTAAACTCCCACACCTTAATTTACGAACACATGCGTGCGTAAGGAGAGGTATATAGAGGCCAATAGAGGATAGAATCTATTTGAGTGAAGGGGCCATAGCAATGGGCCATATATGATGACTACATAAATAGTGTTTTGTTCACTGGATTGTTGGCACATGGATCCGGCGGTCGACCGGTGTTTGTTCAGCCGCACACGAAGCCAGCCGCACTTTTCCATTGCCCGTCTCGGTCGAGGCGTCAAGTGGCAGAGGTTCGGCAGATGCTCTCAGGCGGGTCACTTGCAACATGGGATTCGACGGTGCAGTCTTACAGGGTGCGGTCTGATGGATATTCCAAACGCCACCAACATGTGTGAATTTCCTACACAGGACCACGTTATTGAAGCTGCAGTACTGCTTGTCATCATTGAGTCCAAACATAGATGGACCCTCAGTTGGCCCGGTATTTGACGAAACATGAGGGACTTATATACTCCGATACCACCTTGCCACATTGCCCATTTCGAGGGGCTCAAGCAGAGAGGGTATGGAGGCAAATGTTTTCAGTGGAGATGGGCAGGGTCACCATTCGTTCCCGTTGATTGTGGTTCCTATCGATGAGACCTCGCCGTTAGCCTCTCGACGAGGAACCGCCATCAACGGAACACGCCATCAAGGGTGAAATGCGTCGATGCAGGAGCAGAAGCTCGCTGCCATGTGCAACTGTCAATCCCACATGGGCCCAGAACAATTCGCAGCTCGAAGTAGCAATTTTTTGTGCTATGTGTGATAGTTATTTTCTCGGTGCAGATCATATCAGGGGATATGTTTGTTCAATCTTTGTGGGTTTTGTATAGGAAAAATGCTAGAAATGGTTTGCAATTGCAGGTTGTCCAAAATGCAAGCTTCTCCATCTATAGATGCGCAGAATGTGTGCTATGACCGTAGTTACGGAATCCAACGTGCAGGTGCGAGCTTACTGGAATAGATGTTTGTCTCTATCACAAGGTGTTTGTTTGTTAACATCAAATTTGCTAATATCATCTAATATAATTGCTTTATTTACCAATCCTCTACAGAATCAGGGTGTCAAGCACCTTAGTAGAAGCTGCATTGCTATGTTTCTTTTGCCCATCTAGCGTTTCAAAATGTTTTAAATACATCCCGACTTGTAGTTTGGTACCATGCTCATGCTACAAGACGTGTGGTTCCTTCTGAAGTTGAAAGAGATTTATATATATATAGAGATGTGCGTAGATGTGTTCTCAAAGACGATTGCCTCACCGTTGCATGACTTGGAGCGCATGCAAGGAATGTTTATCGACGGTGTCTTCGACCTGACACACTACGGCTTCTTCCTTATGCAATCAGCGTGCCAAAACGCATGGCTAAGCGGTATCATTTCTTTAACAACAAAACAACAACTCCTTGATGTACCCTATGTTGTGCCATGGTGCAACAAGAACGGCATTCCCCTCTTGATATATGGTATATTATAATGCCAACCCAACCTTCAGCCTTCAGATTTCTTCAGCCCCCTCAGGCCATGTGAATGCCTTCCGGCAAGCCAAAGCCTTAGGGCAGCCTCTCGGATGCGTCTAAGTACCGGAGACGTTGGGGTCTCCGAGTGGTCCGGAGTCGGAACACGGGTTAGAGAGCTTTTTTTCTGGGGGGTGGGCATGGGTTTCCCCACCACCATTTGGATATCTATATTACAGGGAAACTGAGTCAGTTAGGACAGTTAGGGGTGTGTTGACCATGGAACTGCCTTTCTTTCAGGACCCAATTCACTGCATGCGGAAAGTGCAGACTTGGGGAAGGAGGTCTTTTGATGTACCACAGGCTAAGCTGAGTGTCGGTTGATCTACTTCTTGCTTCATCGGAGTTGATTTCGATACGCCAGTACAACTGAGATGTTGATTGGTGCATAGGTATTTTGTTTGTGGCAAAGATGCATTCTCGAAAATTTCTACCAGGACTATCCAATGGGCGTCCAATGGACTATTGCAAGCAGATGTTCTAGGGATCTCCAATCTCCATTGGACACCCAGACAGGATGGTCCAAGTACTGTACACACTGAACAAGCGACGCCCGCCTTTGCGCGACGTACTGGGTCCTGACTAGGAAACAGAGTGATGCAGAAGTGATGCAGCTGCTGAATTGCGGTGAACCTACACCCTGTACTGAGTCCGTCGCTGCACCATACCTGGACCAGGACCCTCCAACCAACGGATACGCATAAATACTTGATGGATCTTGATGGTACTTGTATGTACTTTTCCTGTGTTTAACGGATTTTAAAGGTACTTCGAGGGTGCAGTTGTTTTCAACTGAACCTACTGCCACCCATCAACTGAGCCTTTCGGTTGGACACCAGTACCTACGAAGCTCGAAAACGGTACGTAAGAGTAGAATGAAGTAGAAACATAAGTGTATTTTGTTGGACATGTTTCTGACCCACAAAGAATACCAAAGTTTCTAGTCCAAGAAAGGATTTTCTTCACATACAGACAGTATCCTAAGTCGAAGACAAGACCTTTGTTAAATTGAGTAAGTCTTTCCGACCCACAAAAGGATCAGCTTTCTTGCCTACCACATGTTTCTCAAGTACCAACTAAATATCGCCAGCGATCAACATGCCACTGCCATATGTTGCCGGGCCATATTTGTATCATGTTTTATTTCGTGAACCCATTTGACCGGCTCCACACCGTGCCATGCCACGGCTCCACACGGTCAGACCACCCGATGGTTCCGGTCGTCGCACTGAGGCACTTGGTGGTCGGAGTGAACAGCGACGAGTCGGTGTTGCAGGTCGCTTGGCGTCGTGAACCACGTCTCGGTACATTGGATTCGATCGAGTCTCGGACGAGTAGACTGCGACCTCCACCGGACCGCTTCACCGGGGACCTCGTCACCTTTCCGGGGGTCCGGTCGGTGGAGGTCGGTGGCGGCTTAAAGCGCAGACCGTCCGTGGGTGAAGACGGTGATTCCAGTAGGAAAGAAAAGGAAACTTAGACTCCCCCAGTATCCTGAATGACCTGTTAATCTAATTTCAGTGGATGACCCTAGTGGACCTGTCATACCCCCCTCAGTATTTTCCGGCCCCAGTACGACTACAGATCATCCACCGGTGATGACCCACGGGTGATCATCTGCTCATCCACCTGGACATCCCAAGTGACGCCGCTTTGGCTGGTGCAAAATGGATGCCTCCGGTTGTCTTGATTCCCGGCCGGGCTCCAGTCGTACCGAAACGAAGGTATGACTGTGGCTGGCACCCGCGCCCCCAGTCACATTAGGTCAGAAGGTACTTGGAGCATTCGGGATATATACAGTGATATATGATATATATATAAATATAGATATAGATATCAGTATCCAATGATCCTTACTTCTACATGTTTTCCCACCCCGTTCTCCAACCTGCAGTAGATGGATAGATCAAGCACAAATCCCAAAACTAGGGATGACAGATTGACATGATATGGAATGGCATGATAGCATATTCTAGTATCCACACCTACAAGCGCCAAACAGTTCTTTTATCGTGTTCCAGTATGATCCGTGAACATGTAATGAAAAGAAGCACCACACAAGGATCGTTCGGATAGATTCTCAGAGGTTTAGAGATTTCGGGCAGTGACTGGCAGCCAAACCTTGCACAACATTTGAGAAAATTTGATACAAAAAAGTAGATTCCATACTGGCTGATGCGCTATTATTTCTTGTGTTCTTATGGGAGGCCAAGGGCTTCCTACCGGTGCTCAAGAACAGCGAGCGTCAGCGTGCGGTCCTGGGCTGCCGCTTTGTGGATGAGCACCTCAGCCTTTACGTGGCAGAGGTGGGTCATGGGCAGCCAGTTGACTGTACTGGTAGGGTGGGCACTTGTGCGGAAAAGGTAGAGGCGAGTGCGGAAACCGCTAAAAGTTTCAACCAAGAAGACAGTTTTGGCTTCTGTTTCCCTCTGTGTTTCTTCCGGTTTTCCCAACAACCATGCTGCTCATAACCGGGCCGACCGCTCCCAGGATCGTCCCCGCGCAGCTTGGCAGCGACCGAATCGGTGGTTGTTGGGTCGTCCACAGATCGGCGGTGACGGCCGAAACAGGTGGATCACGGCTAGTCATCCCACAGGCAAAACACTCCATGGGACTGCAATATGTTTGTACACACACATATATTACTATTACTTGATGTATATATATATATAGATATAATCCCTAAGGCTCCTGGATATATAATGAATCAAACTTTGGATGGGGGGCCTATCTTGAGGAAAGGGGTTTGTCCAGGACTATCCTCAGAACGGGGTTCCAATCCCACTCCCTTCCAGCAACTAATTATTTGGTTCATTAACTCTCCCATTCAAGTCAAATCCAACTGGTCAAGCTGATGGTTTCCAGCCAGAACCAATTAGAAACGCTTGAGCAACGTCAGCTCCATGCCCTCACAGGGTGGCGCTTCAGTGTCAAACCTAGGCCAAGTGCAGTCTTTGAACAGCCTTTAGCTCTGACTTGCAATTTTCCCAACAAAAGCGTTGAGACGAATGCATGGTACTTGCGAGAAATCATTCCTCAGCTAAGCTAGGTGCATGTACCACAAGTGCTTGGTCCAAGGGATGCTCCATGGATTCAATCAATGAAATCTCCCGCATCGTCTTGGATAGTTGGATCTCATGGACTCATGCACGCATTAGCCATACACAGAAAAAGGGTTCGGTCCCAAGAACAATGTAAGTATACAATGGTATTGATATGGAAACACAACCACAAACAGCAAGCGGTTAAGCAGCTGTCCTGGGGTCGAGCCCTATTTCCAAGCTGGTGACATCTTTATGCGGGAGGATCCGCAAACCCTGGTGCCTACACAAGTAAAGGACCCACTACTTCTTCAATCCTCTTCAGAAAAGGTTCCAACCCCAGGACAATGTAAGCATACAAGTGTATTGAGATGGAAGCACAACCAAACACAGCAAATCGGTATGCAACAGCTTAACCCAAAATCCACTTGGTGAAGTGGTCAGGCGCCCAGACATTCCGAGAACCTAGCCAGGTTATAAACTCCAATTGGAACCCGCCACTGTGACAGTGACTGCCCATGAGAGCTATGAAGTCCAAGTGGTGTCGCATACCACCTTTATGCTTCTTTGTGCGGGAGGCTCTTGCCAGAACCCCAAAGTGTTTGGCAGGTGGTGGCCGCACTAAATGAACGAGCGCCGGACAAAACCTAGTATAAGGAGAAAAGTAGTTGCTTGCTAGACAAGGGACGTAGGAAACCTGCATGAACCTGCGGAGCTGATACTGCCAGTTGTTGAAGTCGAGACGTGTTTTTTTCAAATAGCAGATAGAAGGTGATGAGCAAACCAGGAAGTCGATACACTATAGCGTTTCCTTGCAGGATAGAGTGTGTTGGAAGATGTTTTCTAATTGCACGGTTTTATTCAATGGGCTTGTTTTACTCAGCGTTCACAGTGTTTTGATTGCACAAGACCTACCGGAAGGAAGTTGGCAGGCAACCCATAGGTTGTTTCTAGAGGTTTCTATAGGCAGCCCATAGGTTCCCCTTCATCTTGGGATTGTGGGTCAGAATCGGGGTGCCATGGGGATTGGATCACGGCAACCCATAGATAACACTTGAAAACATTAACATGTTGAAGGTTGAATCGCAATGGAATAGTGTAGGTTTAGAAGCAATCTAGGAGAAAAAGTGCTTGTTTCGAAGCGGTGTGTCATTTTGTCCAAATGGGGTAAGTTCTTACATTCGTGGGGTAAGCGGGGTGCCATGGGGGTGGGTCAAGTTCATGTGCGATGGGGTAAGTTACCACGTCGAGTGGCTCTCCAAATTGCGTTGCCTTTGGGATTTGCAGTTGAAGTTTTCTCCTTTTGGAAAGGCGAATCTGGAGAACCTTGTTCTGTATGTAGCGTTTACAATGGGGAAGGCCAGCAGTCTTGACTTAAGTACTGACTTTTGCAAATCGGCGTTCCATGGTGGTTTAGTATCCCACATGCAAAATGTATTAACTTCAACGGGCACCAGTAGGGACTGCGCCACAGGTTCTGTCTGACGCTCATATGATGTGGGCAAACATGTTGCGCAGCAGTGTGCAAGAACACATTGAGCCAGGAACCTTTAGGTCCAGAACACATAGGGATGCTATTGTCAAGACAGGTTGAACAGCACTGCTAGCCATTGCTATCCATGCATCGCTCGCCATGCAGCGTACGCTCTGTGCCGGCAACGAAACAAACAAGCGCACACAAGATCAGTGGAGATGCACAGGACACAATCAACGTGTGGAATCATGAACAGAGCTGTACCTCGCTAAAGCCTCAAGTACCAAAAGTCACGCACTATGTATACACAGGTTGAACCAGCGTATGACCCCAACAAACAACGGAACTGCTCTGGGAACTCAATCAAAAGCAAGCCGAAAGCACCCTTCTTCCCTGTTCTTTCCCCTTCTTGCAAAATACAAAAAAGGCTACCAAAGAGAAGCCACGACGCACGGCCGCATCTCTGCAAACGCCGCTTCACCTTCTCACAATCTTCAGGCGGTAAAGGCAAACGCGCGAGCACGCTCTATCGCCTTCTTGACTGGCCCTTCATTGCCTCCGACCACGGTATTTTACGGTAGTGCCCTTTTTTGGCACCATTTTTTGAAGCCTTCTGAGGTCGGTGAAGACTGCTGTCTCTTGGCAGCATTCTTCTCAGGCAGATTTGACAATGCAAGCGCTCACTTGCTTCTGTAGTTGATCCTGTCTCGAACGTTGTTGAATGAGACGCAGTCTTCTATGTGTACATTTCAATTTGCTGCTTTTCGACGCGTTGTGTCCTCAAGCCAGACTAGCGTCTCTGGGAGACTGTTTGACTTTTAGGCTCTGGCAAGCTTTGAAGCAATGGCAGCCACGGCAGAACAGGCCTTCAAGAAGAAAGTGCAGCGCACCGCGCATGTGAATACATTCTTTGCTGATCTGGAGGCACAATCTTTCCCTGAAGATTTGGTCCGAGTAAGCTATCCGGAGGCTGTTCACCATTGGGAATTGTTGGGTCAGACTCAAAGCACACCATGGATTTGGGTGATGTTGCTGGAACTTTGTTTGGTGTCCTTTCTGTCTCCAACAGCTGCGCTGCGCCCAATCCCCGCCATCACAGTGTATGCTGTGCTGTGGTTGGTCTTTATGCACCCTGGTTCCACATCAACATCCAATCTTCTTTGGCTCTATGGAGATTGCTTGGATGTGACTGAGGATCGTGCACGCAAAGATCGGGTCCGGCGTCGCCTGGAGCGTGCCCAAAAACAAATTGGGAAGGGCGCCGGTGGCAAAGGAAAGGGCGAAGTTAACGAGTTTGCAGGACCGAGCTTTGTCACAGCATGTTCTTGTGCTTGCGCGGTACCTATGTTATTAGTTTTGAACCTCGAACTTGTGGTAGTGAACGCGGTGGTTTGTGATTCAGTTTGTTGCTCAAGTGAACTTATTGAACTTATAACAAAATAAGTTACTTTTAGGTAGAAATAACTAGAAATGAAGTAAACATTAAACAGATTAGAAAAAATCTGGAAGTAAGTAGGAAATGTAAGTAGGAAACAGAGTTTTTTCTTACGTATTTGTTCCTATATTTTGTTTTCCTACCCAAGGACACATTTTCTCTTGAACATATAAACCACATCCACATGTAAAAATCTTAGCGGCCGAAGGGACGCCCTCACATGATTTGTCGGGTAAACAGAATGGACATAAAGGCGTGCAAGCGGCCTCAGGGGCGCTCTGTTATGATAAAAGTTTGTCAAGAAACCTGGCATATAGCAGTTTTGTTGACCAGTGTGTTTGGGGATGTACCGGGATGTATCGGAATGTGTCAGAATGTATCGGAACGGGCCGACGCATTCCAACAAAGTTCATTTACATCAAAAACTACAGTCAATAATTGTGTCAAAAATGACAAAACATATTGTTTGTTTGCTTGCTTGCTTGTTTGTTTGTTTGTTTGTTTGTTTCATTTTGTTATGATAGATTGAAACATGTGGGAAAACAGCAACCGGGCCAATACGAACGTGCCAAGATGCAAAACAGAGCGTCCCTTGGGCCGCTTCACAAAGCAAACTCATCATACAAACGCACGTGTCCAGACATATCCACGTTTGAATGGTTTTGTTGAACAGGCGAATAGAACATAAGAAAAAAAATGGACAGAGATAAGTAGAACCCTATGTAGAAAACATGTTGAAGTTCTCAAAATAGACTGAAGATAAATAAACATAGCTACAGAAATAAGTAGAAAGATTTTGAAATACGTCTAGATTTCCTAGAAATTGCTAGAAATAAGTCGAAATCGGCTAAGCGCAGTAAAACAATAAGTGGAAACAAGTAGAATAAGTAGCCAACGACATAAGTACTATAAGTTCTTAAGTTACGTCTATGTTCCATAAGTAGGACCCTGCAGGTACTTATGTTACAATATGAACTTATTGAACTTATAGCACAACTTTTGGAACGTATAGTACAACTTCAAGTTACTTGTCACGGCTCAGCTAGGCTCAAGTACCACAAGGCACAAAGTAGAGGCTGTGGGCACTTGGGTCCTCGGCCTGTAAAGGTTCCAGAGCGAGGGCACGCTTTGACGCAACAGCTCAAGCGAGCTGCTGGCTGTGCTTTAGTCGAGTACCAGAGAGGTGCCAAGTATCCTCGGACTTTTGAGTACAAGGTACTAGTTGTCTTCATGTTTAGGATTCTGGCGTTATCAACGGTTTTCCCTTCAAAAGTGCAATGCAATTCCAAAGACAGCCAAGAGGATTGAACTAGGTCACCTTTCTCTCAGCCCGGGTTTTGAGCCCAAACCCTGGGACAAAGACACTTACCTATTCTCACATCTGGCTTGGGAAAGCATATCCTCACAGCACACTTGGACCCTTAGTGAACAACAGTATACCTGGACCGCCCATTTCAAAAAGAGGTGTAATACTTCAAAGCACAAGAAAAAGTGCAATGCTGGACCAAAAGGGCAATATTTACGAAGAAGCTAACGTATGTTATGATGGGGTGTCCCCGGAGAGGTAGACGTGGACCACAAATTCAGGCATACAAAGGTTGCTCCAGGTAGGTGTAAAGGTGATGTATTTATATGCCTACACTGATCCCTCTTCAGCCACCCAAATCTAGGTAAATAGGCAGATCCCATGGAGTGTTTAGAGCTTTGGAAGGACGTGACATCCCGGACCCCCGGACCTTGTTGAACGTTCTCTGGGACCTTTTCATCAGGTTTTCAGAGGATGTGAACATGAGAGATGGTTTGCGTTTGCAAAGATTTACTTGTTGCCCCCAAGTCACGGGTAGGTGAGGCATCATTGGTTCCCTCCTGTTCCCTCCACGAAGGAGGGTTTTCATCGGTGCTTATCTTAGGTCCCCATACATTATGTCGCTTGGCCGCAGTTTGCGAAGCGATTGACGGTATGTTGCTAGATTCACCTAAATTCCGAAACCACCTGTTCACAATTGGTGATGCCTGTTGACAGCTGCACGTACTGGCAGGGGGGCTATTGCAAGGCATGCATCATGGATGTTTTTTTCCACTATCAGGTCATTCTATGTTGCTGCCTATTCTCCGATGGCGCTACCACATTGATTTTTTGTTTCGAATATTTTCGCAGCCCGGTAATTACATGGAACGTCAACGTGAGTCCAATATTTGTTTTTTTTCCAAACAACAACAAACATTTGTTTTCGAGCCTTTAGCAGAGCAGAAGATCCTGAGGATCCAACAGCAAGGATAGCCTCTATCAGAACTGGAATCCACAATTTCTTTCGACATATGTATATACAATATATATATATGTCATGTATGATATATGGGTTTCAATTGGATTGATGGTTGGTTCTCTCACACCACCCCTACCAAAAGTGCCACAGTTGTCCACAGTGAATGTATCAATGTATCTGCATGTCTCAATTTGGTGGACACCGTGAAAACCTGAAAGGCCCTCGGAGATGAAGGAAAACTAGACATGGGATTGGGGTGTGCTGTGGCCAGGTAAAAGAATAGATTGAAAAATTTGTCGAAACACAAGTAGTCAAAATGTGTTTTGGAACAGTCCCAACTCGGTTTCATCATTTTAAGCAGTTTCAGCAGTTGCTGCCTTTGGAATTTCCCTCGGCCCATGAGCTCAGGGGCTCAACAAAACGTTGGCAAACGTTCGGGAACTCTCGTTTCCTGCGTTTTTCTACCCAAACACGTCCCAGACAGGTCTATATACCGATCAATTGGGGTGGTTGAAGAGGGTTTAGTGATGGGCGTATATGCTGTACATGGAGCGCCTGGGCTAAGGACAGCTGAATACATCGAGGACCTCGTGGAGTCCAAGGGCATCGATTCTCGCTTGATCATTGCATAGACTTTTGAAAGTACGTTTGAACTGTTTCAAGAGTCAGAAGTCCATGGCCAAACAAACGCAGCCGGGCGTAGCCTGCGGGTACCTATATGTACAAGAACCTTCCAAGTCTACTTTGAGGGATCTACCTTGAGACTATGACGATATGATCCTGAAGGACCAAATTTCATAGATCGCAGTTCTGAGTGGTCTTGCTTTCCTGGACACAAAGGATTACTTTGTCCATGGCGATGACCCCTGCATCGTGGATGGCCGTGATGTGTCACTTGTCCTGCTCTTTTGGTTTCTGTTGCTTGTAGCCTAGGGTTTTGACAGCAACATGCATCAGAGATTTATGATTTCTCATGAACATAAGCACTCATCCATCATTGAAGCCCTCACGACCTATAGTTGTAAACCAGTTGTGGTAGGACTGTCCAAGTAGAGAACTTGGTCTCGGTCCACCATGGGCTGGGACCAATCATGTGCGTCGATTGCGAAACAAACAACGTCGGCGTAAATGCTGTTGGTTTTATGGATCTTGTCTTTGCTCAACAGGTATTTGTGTCATGTACTTGTATAATATCATATTATATCATATATGGTCTTCGTGGTGCAAGATTCGCATCCTCTCCGCTCTGGCAGCATCCCCAAACACTGCCGTTGTTTAGCACGTTTGGATGTCTCAGGTACGAATCAGCGCGCCAAGCTGGCCGCTTTTGCACGATCCCACGCACAGAGACATGGTTTTTTAGGGGACCATCACGACGTGTCCAGTTTTCAGTGATTCTTCGTGTGTTTGTGGGTGAAGGCGAACGATGGGCCCCCCGGGTGACTGCAGCAGTGTGTCAGTGTGTGTTTTTTGTCCTGGACAAATCCAAGTACTAGCTGGAGGTGGTCCAACTCATCCATCCCTTGGATTTCTTCGAGGTCGACGTGAGAACTCGTCACGTATGGGTTTTTCAAGAAGGATAAAGAAGGGAGTATTTGTTGGACAGGGTGTTGAAGCAGAAAGCAGAGAGCATCCCTAATTGATCCTATTCCATCCATTTCCATCCTGATTTTCTTTTGTGAGAATGTCAAGCTGTTCATTTGTCGTTGCATCCCGAGCTTGTCAGGAGGCCTTTCATTCCAGTACAAATTGACACCTCTATGGTCTTGTGGTCCAAATCCGAATGATGTTTGTTAGAGCTTCCCATGCTAAAAAGGGACTCCACATGCAACGACAGCTCTCAGGAAGGCATCTCCACCACTGACATCGTTGGACGATTGCTTCTCCTGACGCAGGCCCGATGATAGGGGCTCCGTCAGTAAGCCGTTGCGCAGTCATTTGGAACAATAGACAGCAACAATAGAAAGCACATGAGGTAAAACAACACACTGTCACTAAGTAGCCTAGCCTAGGCCGCTTTTCAGACAAATGCCATTTGGATTTATTTTGATTTACTATTTGGATCAACAGATCGGGAAGAAAGCACACCTTGCAAATCTCCAGGTCCTTGCAAAGACGTGTCTTGCAAGAGGGTCCTTGCAGCGATTTTTCGCCTGCCAGGATCATCACACCAACCTCCTAGAAGAGTCAGCCACCTCCTCTGCTGGCGTTTTCGCGCGTCTCGGAGTGCTTGATCGTCCTTCGTAGCGATGGGCTGATCTGCTGGTGTGGATATAACGGTACTGGTTTTCCCCCGAAGCCGTCGTGAACCTCACCAAGAGAGGGGTGTGGATCGACAGCGATTCCATGCGTCTAACATTCAGCACGTTTGAACACTATTGAAACACGTTACAACAAGTGTAGTAGTAATATGTAGTATGTATATATGTGACTGTTTGGTCCGTCCGGCCCAACGTGTTCTGCGCCGAGGTCGCAGCAATCGAGCTTTTTGGTGACCTCCCAACTGCTGAGAGCTTTCTCTGGCGCGCTGCCGGGGCACAAGGGTGGCCAGGTGCCTCTGAAGTCTTTGAGGGAGGGATCACGCCAAGAACGAGATCCAGGTTGATCAGTTTTGGTACATGCTTGAATGTGACCGTGGCCAAAGCAAACTATCCAATAAATAACAATATATATATATATAGTAGTATTCACGCCAATCACATTCACTCGGCAAGGGGCCTCCCCCAAAAAAGTTTAAATTACTTCACTTCGAGAGATCCCCACCATGACATTTCAATCCACTATAACACGAAAGTAATGCACATAATAGTCAGGCCGCGCTTGTTTTTTCTATAGCAGGTAACACTGCCGGCGGGGAACACTGCCAAGCGGAACTCGTGGTTGAGGTCCGGCGGGGAACACTGCCATCCGCAGCTGGCGGTTGAGGTCCGGCGGGGAACGCTGCCATCCTGCACTTGCGGTTGAGGTCTGGCGGGGAACACTGCCATCCGGAGCTGGCGGTTGAGGACGAGGCGGAGGAGGAGGAGGCAAAGGCGGAGGCGGGCGCGGAGGAGGAGAAGGAGGAAGAAGGCAGCTGACATAAAGTCCAAGAACCCTCACCCGACAGGTGGGGAAATACACATGGTGTCTCCCGGGCAGGCTAGTTGCAATCAGCAGTGTCCTTGACCCAGAACTTGTAGAAGAGGAAGATTCCGATCTACTGAGTTGAGAGTGCCCCCCCAAAAGACCGCCAAAGATAGGAGCTTAGCAAGAAAAGATATCAGCGTGACTCCTCAAAGTAAGCATCCAGTAGCCCAGATCTTTGCGGGTCTTGCTGATGGATGTACCGGCGGAGCCGCCCTCAGCGCCATCGCTCGATCCGTTGGCCGCAAGGTCCGTTCCTCCGTCCGCACCAGGTGGTCTACGTGGATGGCGCCTGGGACATGTTCCACTGTGGCCATGTAGACCTGCTACGGAAGGCGCCAGTGGTAGGAAAGGGCGGCGGGTGGGGTGGGAGATGTTGGAGACTTTTCTGATAAGCAAAGTGAACCTAGAGTAGCCTAATTTTTATATAGTTACGGAATGTTACGGATGTCCACTCAATTTTGCACCATGTACGCTTGTTCGCGTTTGCTTCTATCAGAGTAAACGAAGGCTCCAAACGCCCCACCCACCAGGGTGGTTGTGCACGTCCTCCTGATAGTGCGGCCAAGTGCGACTAAGTGAATAGGTTGTACATCTTTCTGTGGGGTCCAGAATTGGGGTCCTAGCCAACGCATTGGCCAAAACATTCGGCAACGGTGTCAAGTAGGCCATTTTGGAACTGGCAAACAACAATTTTGCTTCATACCTCACAGTATAACCTTGTTTCTTGTTTTTTTGAATGTTTAAAGTATGATTGACTTGCTGTAGTTTTGTAACGTTACTAGATCCATACGTCCAGAAGTATTCTTGTGCATCCCTGATAGTTTATTCTCATTTGTTTTGTTTTTCAGGCTTGTCCCACGGCAATTTATCCAAAGGCCCACACATGGCTGTCCCGCACAGCAGCCAGGGGGACAAATACCCATGGCAGAACAAGCAAATGACAAACCAATTGATTTCTGGGTTTCCTGACAGCCAATATGGGTTCGTTTTTAAATAGGGAGACCTCCCGAGGAAAATAGATGAAACCAGGGCTGGGGGATTGTTGGGGGGTTCCCTATTAAGATACACAATGATACACATGTCTCTTCCCCAAACATCAGAGGTTTTGGCAGAAACACCTCTGCGTTAGCTGTGAGGCCAAGAACTTGGGTGATTTGCTCATCGTGGGAGTGCACGCTGACGCGGTGGGGCCAATGTCAGTTGGAATTGCGCCGGTCTTTGGTGCGTCGGCGTACTGGATTTTTGCAGTGGATTTAGATCTGATTGATACGATTCTATTGGATTGAACTGCTGAAAGCCTCAATATTTGGCCTCCATTGCTCGCAGACTTCGAGTGGAGTATGTCTTCGATCTCTTCTTCGATGGGAGATTGGGTTTTGAAGTTGGCGGTTTTTAGCACACCATTTGGTGGACGTCTCCCTTCAGGATCAGGGTGGCTCAGGGGTTCGTCCTACATCAGCTTAACTAGGGGAACACCATGCCATGCTGAGCTGCCAGTGGTCTGTCAGACAGCTGAGTTAACCCATTTATATAGTGCCGGACGGATTTCGATGATTCCACAGCATCCAAAGACACGAACAAAAACAACTATATAACTATATACATTCAATGGTCCGGTGATGGGATTCAGTGGTTGGATCTGGGTACGGTGAGATGCTCATCCCATCCATCCCCATGGTGGCAATCCCGAACTCGTTTTCAGTAACTCATACGTCCTCGTACGTCGTGTAGTGTAGTTGTTGCATGTTGTTGCTGTAGGAGTATCATACTTGTACATGTGATAGTACATGTGAAACATGCTTGTTGTGATAGTACATGCGATGCTTGTTCCTTGCCTTTTCTGTCCTCAAACAGACACGACACAAGTGAGCTTGATGCTCACCGATCCCGGTCTCCCCGGGTGTTCGCGCGTTTGACACGGCCTTCGCGCGAAGCAAGCCGCCTGCGGAGGTGGTGAACAAGCATCGTGGCTCCAACTATCCCATCATGAATATGCAGGAGCGTGTTCTTAGTGTAGCCTGGTGATGCAGAGGAGAATCAAGTTTAGTTCATGTCCAACTTGATATGTTCATTGAACGTCGAGCTGAAACCCCTATATGTACTTCTAAGAAGAAACAAACAGATTGAAGATTCGATCAAGACATGTCATACGTTGCGAAGTTACCAAGCATTGGAGTCAATTGGATTGAAGCAGTGAAGCCATGATAAGCCATGTTGGTTTAGCAGGCTGCTTGTTTCAGACTTCAACTTGCTGACCTTGCTCAGTTGTCAGTCCGTGTGAATGATGGTGATTACCCGGTACAAAGGTCAACGCTGTTTGTTTTGTTTGTTTCCACTTTTATCTCCACCAGATTTGAATGCTTTTTTCAGTGAACCTTTCGGCCTGTTCCAAACACGAACCCACCCTTTTTGCTTTCCAGACCATTGATTCGACAACAAAAAACAACAACAAAGCCGTTTTCAGGCAAGGTGGATCTCTGAAGTCTCAGATTTGTTCTCCCTTCATCCTCCTGCCTGCAAGGCTGCCTGCCTTCCCCACTCGAGCCCCACGCGCCCTGAAACCTTCAAGGTCTTGGGTTGTCGCTACGTGGACGATGTCTTGCTGGACGCGCCCTGGCAGGTGACACGGGAGATGATCGCCACTTTGAGACGCTTGGACCGCAGGGCTTCACGCAGGGCGAAGCCATTCGTGGGCCGAGCATGTGAAGTTCGTGTGGAGTTTCACCTAGAATAAGTTATCCATTATAGTTATCCACTTCACGTGGGGTGCCTTTCGTGGGCGAAGTCGAGCGAACTGACCCCGAGCAATGGTGTCGAATGACGAGGCACCGGGCTTGTATCCATCCTGGCTTTGCTTTGATGCTTAATGATGTTGATGTTTTCATGGGTGAATCCCGCGAAATCGGAAGATGATGGTTCTTTCCCAGTTGGACAGCAAAGCGATGCTTTTACATCAAAGGTCTCACCGGTTCCCTGTGAAAGGACCCTCCGCTTCCACTCAAGGACTCTCCGTGGTGGTCCGCGGCACCGTTTGCGATACCGTGCGCCGAGCTGCGGCTGAAGACCCGCACAGCGTCCCGAGACATGGCAGATCTGCGAAGGTTCACCTATGGCAGTATGGGTTATTATGGAACAAGTTATGCAACAATTAATGTGGAATATGATCCGACCGAGTCTAGACAAACCATTTAAAAACATACCAGCATTTCATGGCTGAAGGCCGAAAAAGAGAGTGCCAGGGCCAGGTACGTCATGTAGACGGTAGACGGTTGAAGATGAATTAGCCTTTTCCGGTTACAGAATGGTTTTACAATGTTTTACATCTCCAAGCCTTGAGGCTTCTTATTGATCAACAGTCTGCAATTAGAGTTTTCTTTCAACAGGAAGTCTCAATTTTGTTCTTGGACCAAAGCTTTTGACTCAGGTCACCTCCATCCCCTTTCAAACTTCAAACAACAGTTGCTTGGAATCAGGTCTTTGAATCCACTGTTGATACCTTCCACTGACATTCATAGACCGCTACCGGAAGTGTGCTGCCAAGGCCAACTCATGTTCATCTCTAGGTCACTGATAAGTTTGTCAAATATCAGCCTAGGTTGCTTGTGTATATTCCGTAGAGAACATAGCTGCCAGGTCGCGTTGAGAGGAACCCATGCCTTGGGAATTGTGTGAATATTGTGGCACGCCTCCAGCAATCTTGCTCCTTAGAAGTGGCAAATCGAGATGGAACATGGATTTACGCAGATTTCTTGACCTCCATGTTTTTGTATGTGAATGCTGAGGAGAAACCCTCTTAGCAGAAGAGGGTACTATTCCACAACAGGAGTGTTGCGCATGTCCAAAAACGGGGTCAAACATGTGTGCGATCTGCTTGACACCATCTTCAGTCGAAATTCCTCGTCCAAGCGCCAAGGAAAGAGATGGGCATCCACGTGGAGTTAGAAAGCGAGGACTGTGGTGGCACCAAACTCGCGAAAACACCGCCTGGTTGTTTGAGGGGGTTAGCCCACAAGAAGTGGAGTTTTTGTGACAGATGGTGGATGTGTTCAGGTATGGGAGCAACGAAATCAATAGGTCACTAGGGAAAACTCAAGATGCAAGAGCAAGAGCCTAATGAGGAACAGCTATGGATTGTTGCCCAAGCCTCCTACATGGTGGGTGGAAGGGCTAGTTGGATATGCGATTCTTTGGCGTAACTATGTGTAACTTATAGATGGGAGGACCACCTCCTCAATTAACTGGGGTTTTGAGTTGTACACTCCCACTGACAGCAATCCAAACATGACATCATGGTCCTCCAAAACAGAGAGGCTAACTCCCTAGCCCGAGGCCCCTGGACAGGTGAGCCACCCAATCAAGCCATAGGAACGCGCATTTAATGAAACAGATATTTACATAATTTTACATAGGTTCTTTCCAACAAACTAAGCTCAACAAGTTGGTCAGATGTAACAAGATAGCTCAACAAGTTGGTCAGATGTAATTAGACCAAACTTGTTGGGATCTTTCCAACTTGCTGCCTTTTGACCTTACCAACCTCCCTCCGTCCTCATCCAGTTGTCCTTTGCTTCGGCTGATTCAGCCCCCGAGGAGACCCTCTCCTTGGCGGTGATCGCCCAGCGGCTGCAGCAGAGACGGCAAGAGGTTGCAGAGCGACAGAAGAGCAAGGTGTCCCTGGACGGCGTTCTGAGAGCCGTTGTGACCCATTGAGGGCTCCTGAATCTATGAAACCCATAGTAACGTATGGGTTGGGTCTGTCCCATTAATTACCTGTAACAGTCGATGGTGTTTTGACTCGGCAACGGACATGTTTCACAATGTGTTCTTTTCCACATTTGAGGGCACGAGATGTGATTATATAGTTGACTGGATGTGTGTCCTTTCCTTTATACTACACAGCACCCAGAGCAAGATCTGGACAGATCACCAACACAGTCAGACACCACTACCACCACCTAAACAACAATCCCCCTGCACCAACTACTGAGACTCCATCCATCACTACTGCTACCCCACCAACACCATTTCCACCTGAATAGCACGATCCAGATCATACAAACACAAGCAGAAGAAATATGCACCGAGCTACATCATGCATCCTCAACTTCAACCACTTCTTCAACACCCGCGCATACCCCAGCAGACATTCACCTCACTACCATCAACGATGCTCTCACCAGCTTCTTCAACACCTTCCCCCAACAACTCCCATTAGATCCAGTAATCAGCCTTTGCAAGCCCGGGCGCTTAGACCATTCTCTACCACCCTCAACATTGCGATACAATCAACAGGCAACCCCTTTCAACCCTCACACCACCCCCAACCACCACCAACCACAAAAACACACCACACACCCTTGACAGACACCTTCCCCCAACAGACATTACATCCACCACCCCCCACCACACACCCTTGCCACTTTCAACAAGCACCTCACTCTTGCGTCCCTCCGGCACGCCACCCCAACACCAACCGATACAAGGTGCCGGCAATGGCAAGCAGCTATCCCCAGCACTGGCAATGTCGCAGTGTTGCCATCACCCCCATCGAACACTCCTGGCATGAAACCTACCACACCTTTCTACAACAACCCAACCTTTACCTTTCCACACTCTCACCGATGACAACTGACACATCTTCCTCAACCGCGACTTCGGACATTCCCTACCCATCACCACATGGCCCCACCAGGATTGTTACATACTCGATATTGAGACAGCGGACGAGACTCACATTTTGGGCTACATTATCAATACACAACCACCAACATCAACCATCATTCTCCAAATTCCACTCCCACCCGACACATTCAGTCTACCGGAAGTCACCGCTTGCGACCATCCAGCCTCTAATCCAGACATCACACACTCCTGCAACATTCCCATACCACACAACCGGCAGCCACCATCGCACAGCCGCTTATATAGCTTCATGCGGCAAGAAGTCACTCTACAGCATATTACGCTGCAGCGTTGCGTCCCAATCGAGAAACAGAGTGTGACAGCAGCATTGATAGCTGCACCTCACATTGCATTGTACCAGATGCGACAAAAACAGCTGTTTGTGTCAATCCCCGTTCCGAGGGGCACTAATCTACCCTATCCTATTCTACTCCACTTTTTCTGCCTATTTGTACAGCAGCAGGGGAGTGCGGCGTGATTGTGGGACCGCACTCAATGAAGCTACCACAATCACGGGATACCGAGTCTGATCAACTCGGCGTACCTGCTTGAATTTCAGTGATGTAAACCATACTGTTCTCTGACTTGTTCGCCTTGCCATTCTTCACAGGGCCATTTCACAGGTTGAGGCTTGAGCGCTCTAGACCGGTATTGCAGTCACTAACTCTAAAGTGCTAATGCTCACCGCGAATCTTTGAAGCCACGCTCCACGGAGCACTCATCCTAAGTGTGTGTGTGTGTGTGTTTGTTTGTTTTGTAGATCGATCATTTGGAAGAAGGGTGTATGCAGCTAATAGATGTCGATTTTTCATGATCTTTCGATATTGTCTCTATATTAATTTGTTAAACATTGGCTTCGCATCAGTTGACTCTGCAGAACCTCTGTCAAACAACTACAGATTGGTGGAGCAAAGCCAGTCAGTAGAGTAGAATAATACTGTCCTTGTGGAACATTGGTGCTCACTCAACGGAATTTTGATGAATGTTGTTGCACCATGGCTACTATTATTGAGAATGATGGGACAAGGATTCCTTGTCTCCTCTATATGGTCTGAGAAACGCGAAAACATCAAACAAAGGAAAACAAAGACACACGAAAATGGTCACGTGCCTTTTTCTCCGTGTTGGATCTGGTATGTCCAATGGGATCCAAGATGCGGTATAACTTTTACTTTCACTTAGACCCATATCAGAGGCCATCTTGGGCCTTGAACTAGATCAAAGTGGCTTGCTCCGGAAACCGCCACCGAACCGAATAAGAATCGGTCGATGGGCCGTCCAACTGAGGAGCCAAGAAGAGGCTTGGTACCGGCAGAAGCACGGCCTCGTCTGAGGGAGATTTCGGTCTGAGGCATAGAGGATCATGGAGTCCCGTCGATGGAAGGGAGTGTCAGGGAGTGTTTTCATGTGCTTTGGGGAGCCACTCACTTTGAGGGATCATTTTGTTATATTTTCTTTATCATTGCCAATCAATATCACTTTCATGGATGATTTGGTAGCTCCTGATACTCCACAACGTCTCATAGTCTCATGGCGCTCTTTGACAACCATGTCGACCTCGCCGCCAGTGGTTTCGGTGCATTTCACAGCGAACATGTACAAAGCACTTTGCCACACACAAAGCTTGTGTGGCTGCTAATGTCTCCTGCCCAGCAACAGAGCTTCCTGTTCAGAGCCCAGCCGGAACCAGTTCAGGGCCACGCGGCGACTGAAAGTGAACCAGGAACTTGGAGCATGCTGCAGGTTTGGGCCCATGAACCCTACCAAAGGGCTCAAGTGTATGGTTTTGTGTCAAAATCAGGGTGACCTAGTCATAGATCTTTCACATTGGCGGGTGTCCCTCATGTTAACACGAGCAACTGAATTACAGCAGCCACACATGGGTGTTGTTTGCGAAATGAATAGGTCCTGAATGTAATGTAGAGGAGCTCAACTCCTTATCAGCGTTTGCCACTGTCATTTGGATGGCATCCCATAATTCACCTGGCATACATACAAAGAAAAGCTTTGAACATCTGTACGCACATGATCTTCAATCCATTCCATCCTTCGTGGCTACACGTTGGATCGATTCAGCAGGTTGTTCCATGTCAGGATTGGACAACATCTATGGTTTGGGTTTGCCCACCCTGCTTGATTCATGAGAATAACAATAGGAAGGGGGCGTACTACCCTGAGCATCCGCAAGAGGTCCCTTGCTCGGCGGAAATTCTGTTCATCACTCATGCAAATTGTTGTTTTCACCGTCGGGTTTGTGCAGAGTTTGATAGGATCGGCGTGCCTTCATCAGCAACGTTGCTGGGGAGACCCAGAATGTTTTTTTCGGCGCGTGCCGTGAGTGGCAGAGACATGCAGAGACTTTCTTTACACTCTGACTCACTAACATGGAAGTGGAAAATGGCCTGTTGAATGACTATTCTCCTCTACAAACAGGCGGTTTTCCGCTTCCATGTGATGTGTTTGTCAGAGTGTAATACAGTAATACATTTCTGTAAGAGTGATACCTTCGATACTTGGGTTCACCCCGTGGACCGAATTGCCCAGTGTTTTGCGTGTGACCGAGCTTACTAAGGACCCTCCTGTTATTGGGTGTCTATTTATAGCCCCTGGTGTTTGTTAAGGAGGGGTCCATTAACCACCCCGACTGGGGGGTCCTGGTATGAGCCAGTGTTTGAATTTGTTTCCCCAACACCACCACGCCAATTTAGTATCGGGATGACCTGGCTCGGCAATCCACCGATTTCTGGCCTTGCGTCCGTCGCACCAGCTGTAGGTATCACGTAAAGGACCAAGACCTCGAATCTCCCAACTCATCCCATCAAAGACGCCCCAATGATCCCCAATGTTTTCTTCATTGGATAGGGTTTTTGATCGATCAAAATAGGGAGACCTTCCAAAGAACCCACTGGAAGAAGGGAAATAGAGCAAAACCCACTGGTTGGGTGTGCCCCTATATAAATACACACCCATAGGCCCATATTATATATTATATAGGTTGAAGCTAGACCCAGCTGTGCCTCAATTACAAGCAGCTAGGTCGGCGGCTTCGATCTGGCCGTGATCTGCTCTGCCATGGTCGGGGTCCAAGTGGTTGTGGAGGCACACTTTGCAGACTACTCAGGACCAGCAGATGGAATGTTCCGTGTTCTCTTCACCTAGTCGTCAACAACAGAACTACACCTAGGACCTTATGGAAAATCATCTTCAAGTCTTAGACCCCTGAAAATTGCAGCTGCAGAGGTCCCAGCCCAGCCAGTTGCAGAAGTCCCATCTCAGCCACATTTGCAGGTGGGCATGTACCTACCGCGGCTCAACTACACTGAGGCGCCGCGCGGTGTCATGTTGTCTTGGGGGTGGCCTTGGTGGCCGAGTCGGCCGCCCCATGGGTGCCGGCCAAGTAGCCGGATGCGGATGTCTCCGGTGTGGTGATCCCATCCGTGGACGAAACAAGACACCAGTTAGTTGAATAGCTTGGAATAGCTTGGGAGCTAGAATACATAGACTAAAGTATAGACTAACTATAGAATACTATAGACTGAAATAAACATAACTATAGACTGAATAACCTAGCTACCAGTTCAATACTCTATGAATACTAGCATTTGTTTTGTTTTAACATAGACTAGTTACATGTTGTCGTATTTTTCTCGTGATCCGTATATTGAGATAGGTCGCTTGATATGTGAGTTTGCCAGGATAATTCTTCGTGCGAGTGTCGACGCTTCTAGTGCGGGGGGACGTTTGTGGCACCAAGTTGTGGAGCTCGCGCATTCGAGAAACCAAATTGTGAAGCTCGTGCATTCGAGAATGTGACATGATGACCCAATTTGGAATTCAGTCTGACCTGGATGGGGTTCTGTACCAAAGATCTGATGGTGCCATGTCGTGCCATGAGATATCCAAACTCGAGGCCAAGTAAGTTTGAGTCCCCGAGTTTCACGACGAATTCATTTGATTTTGGTTGCAGGTGTGGATTTGCTTCTACTCTGCCAGTCTCCGAAATTGTCTCTCCCTTTCGATTCTCGGTGATGGTGAGTCAGGGATTCTCTTTTCATCTCCGGTGGCAGCGTGGCAGTTGTTCTTCCTGATCTTCGCGTCCTTCGTGACCATTTTGCAGGTGCCAAGTCCAACGCTCGAAGGTTTCCATGGAGACCCGGCCATGGCGCGCCGAACGCGACCACTTCTTCTTTCGAAGAAACATGAGAAACGGACGGTCAAAACATATCGAAACTAACCCTTTAAATAACAGCATGTGCCACGTGGCACAAGTGACAAGTTTCTCCCTTTTTGTTTGATCTCAAAAGCTAGTTGGCAGGGTCCAAAACAAAAAAAAGACAAACAACGGATTCGCGTGTTGGTCATCCGCTGGGTCCGGATCTTCTCTTCACGGCGCTGTAGCAGCGTTATTGAAACACACAGGTGGCCCGTCCTGGGATCTTTCAAGCGGCCAGTGCACTGGCGGTGGCTTGGCGGGAGCACAGGGCACGAAAAGTTGATGAAGTGAAGATGTGAAAACACTCACGAAGCATAGCCTGATTGCGGGAGACTTTGCCTTCGAAGCACTTCGTCCAAGTGAGGACTATGTCAGTTGAACTGTGGAACTGGCCTAGCAGCTAGCACTGGCCAGATCGGATTCGACAGAGATCAACCATTCGCGAATAAAAGACATGTCTTTTCAGATATTTCAGATCTTATCAGCAGCTTTTATTCTCAGCTGAACGTCTTGACGAGATAGCACACATTAAGCATGTTCATCAGTATCACACATCTATGGACTGTACTTTGGAAGGAACCAGTGCAACACCCAACCAGCTCGACGCTTGCCGAGGATGATACTTTCTTGAACCCCCAGAGCCTTGCTTGCTTCTTTTTCTCCGCTGTCCCTTGGTGATAAACGTAAGGATAATAAGGAAGGAGCACCTACTGGAAGACTTACTGTTTCCCTTGGGTCGGGAAGGAAAACTGTCGACCAACATTTAAGGGCAAAAATGCATAAAAATGCATTGGTGGTCAATAGTTAGTTGAGTGTTCATTTTTTGGGGCGTACTGCAAGGCAGCTCCATGTTAATGCCCGAAACGAACATGCAACCCACCGGGGAGAGGTGTTCTGCAAACATGATCTTCAATTTCTTTGCGTTTTTGCGAGAGGGTAGAGAAAACAATAGAAAACTAGATCGAGCTTTGGGCTGCTTGTTTTCTTGATCTCAAATGCGGTATCCTTTCTTGAGTAGTAAGCGAGATGTGTGTTTCCTAGGGAGGCCTAACTGTTGGTTCGATGAATTCATTTTTGGGGGTTGGAATCCAATGAAACACCCCCGCGAAAGCTGCGGTGCCTGGCGGAATCCGGCGGAATTTCATGAAAACACCTGGTTAGCATCTTAGATGAACTCCCATAAATACATGTTCAGTCCATTCTGCGGCCGCATTTGTTGTCATGATTGGAAAGGGAATACACCATGCGACTCATTGGAATCGACGGCATATGTGTTTTTTCCGCTTCGTTCCGCCTCCACCGCACGACCGAATCCAAAAGCCTAAGGTCCTGTTGCGGTGCCTCACCATTGCGGTGCTGGGCTTTGGCTGTGCAAGCCCGGGCGTCCGATTCGCGCCCGCAGAGCGGAGGAGCCAGTGGTTTTGCCATGGAACAGCTAAGACAGAGGTATGAAGAATAGAGGTCATTAGATGTGAGCTAGGTGCAGCTGTTTTCTTTGGACCAAGCATGTTCCTTTTGGAATGAGGAACGTCTTTTCTGCGTTGATTCGGTAAAATATGTTGCAAGGCAGTTACCCATTCGAGCTTGAGGGGCTCGATCGCTCAGGGTCTGAGTCCTGGGGTGGTGAAGAGCTGAGATGTTCAGCTGGTCCCTTTTGTGTGTCCCATGAGCATTGTTTGGAGTCATCCATGTAGTTCTTCATGCCATGTTTGGTGTATATACTTGCTACTGATTTTGCTGTGATTCAAGAACAAGCTGCCACCGGTTTGGACCACGCACACCGCACCGCGCCCCCCCCGTCCGGTCTGCTAGGTCGACCGAACGAGGGAGAGAGGGACAGCGAGGAAAGGGTCTCCCTTTGGCCTTCGAGGTCTCAGATGCGGCACCCTTTGCTTTCTAGAAGTATTAAACGGCTCAGAATTAGAGGGAAGGGGGAGGAACTCTGAAGTTCTCGGGGGTTGCATAGGGTCGGTTTCAGTCCTTGCCGGAACAGCCAGTGAGGCTTTAGTTGGTGGGGCTACTTCATTTGGACATCCTCCGTCCTGGTGTTGGAAGGGCCAGTGCTGCTCTTCTGTGGAGACCTCAGTGTTCACGTGTTCTTTTTTTACAGGTTAACAGGTCTTCTCAGGTTCATGTGTTTTCTTAGATATTGGATTATTTTCGGTATGATTACCTGGAGATCATATGGCGCACTAGGGTTTGGAGATGTGTGGAGATCTGTATATATTTTGCTATACGTTTTTGACAAGCTGTATTGAGTATCACACAGCAAGAGGTAGAAGAGATGCTATGCACACCCAAACAAACCCTAGATATCCTAGATGCTCGCAGCTGGTTCAGAGGCCCTTGGATGACAGTGCATGTTAAGCCGAAGCTTGATATATCATTTGTTGGGTGTCTTATATTTTTTTTTGAGAACAACACCCGCCCCAAATGAATACATATGTTTATATTGTTTGGTGCGTTAGTTTGCTTGAATTGATCAATTGATTTCTTCGCAGCTCAAGCCCGGGGAAATCCCTCCCCGGGGCTGTAGCTCTTTTCCTTCGCGTGCCACTGCGCGAACCTTCAGGAGCGAGTTTCGCACGTCTCATGAGACGTTGCTTTGACCGGCCGGCAGTCGGCGAATGCGGTGCAGGAACCGAACCCTTTCGTGACGTACGCACTGGGTGCGCTCAAGGCGAGAGGGGTTGAGTGTCCTTCAACTGCGTGAAGTGAATGCAGGGTTTGAATAAAGAGGCATCAAGGCAAAATTTGTTGGTTTCATCTGGTCAAGTACACACCCACCAACTTCAATCAAACACCAGGGACCAAGTATTAAACTATATATTCCTACATATTCCTATCATTCATCTCTAAGGCTTTTGGTGACCCATCCTTGGCTAAGATTTGGACAGCGTCCAGAGCTGGACCTCTTCATTGACATTTTTGGACCAGCCGAGAATCATGTGGAACATCGCAAACATCACCCAAGGAAGTCGACATGCAGTTGTTGTTTTTCCTGCATATCTGGAAACACATCAATTCAAACGTCACTTAACGTTTTACATGACCAGAACAGGATGATGACAAGATATGACAGGCAGTTCTAACGGTCAGCTTTGAATGATTCCATCCCCCCACCAAGAGTATCAGTATGTTGCCTGGACATGGCTATAGGTGGCTATGTGATCTATGTGGCATTATGGGTGAAAGCAATACTCTTGCAAAGTACGGTGCCGGAATGGTGTACTACGGTGGCAGCCATGACCATGTGCAGCCATGCAGCCACCACATGCTTGGTGAAACATGATGACACCTCCAACGACGTGGGCGGCCCGCTCAGCCTTTGGACCCAACCAAGGGCATTCCGATCTGCCTCCGCCAAGGGCCAGGGATTTTCGGGGAGACGAAAAGGAGCCAAGAAACCTACACGGCTCTGTCGTCAGAGTCAAGAAGCCATGAGTCAGGAGACCGGCTTTGTCATCATCCGATGAAACCGTGTGCTTTTGTTTGGCCAGTCTGACACCGTGTGCAGGCGGCGCCGGTGTGCTGTTGTGCCGATGAAGTTTCAGGCGCGGAGAAAAAGGTCGAAGATCGGGGTTCATTGGGCATCGAGTTCTTTCAGCATGTAACGGCAATGGTGTACTACCAGGACCATCCAAGGGGTGTCCTACGGATATCCCTAAGTGGTGTAGGGTAGTCTATTGGAGACTCCTTTGATGGTCCACGTATGCATGAGGATTGTTGTTCTTTATATAATGTATCTCTCATGAGATGTACCACACCTCCAACGTGACTTAGAGCCTTTCACTCCGTTGGAAGCCTTTGAAGATGCAAATCCCTCGTGTTCAGATACTCCTTGTTGAGCGGGACTCGTGTCCACTCTCCACTCCAAGAGGCACTTCTTTGGAGTGTTTGCTCGGGATGCGGCTTGAGACTTAGGTGCTTCGAGTGGGCGGGAGTTGAAAAACCCAACAGCCAGCAATTTATATTTCCCTTCAGGTGATGACCATGTGAATGAGCTGGGCACAGTGGTTTGGCCGAGGGTGTGGGGTGTGTCCTTATTTCTAGATGCGTTTCAACTGTTGTCCGGTTGACATGATGAATGATGCTTCTGATGATCATGCTTATTCTGATGGACAATATGGTGAGTTGGAGCACAACACATGCATTGGTTTCACTCCTTTACACTGGCCCAACAAGTAGGCATCAGGAACAGCAGCATGTCACAGCTACTGTATTCTTGAGATCCTTCATGTTCGCTTGGCCCCTTCCGATGTTCTTGTGTCTTCATCCCCCCCACAGCGAGCCATCCTAGGCCTAGCGGCCACAAAACAGCCGCGAGAGTGTCCCAGCTGCAGATGGTGGGGCGATCGAGATGACTGGACCGGATGTGAAGCATCGGCCTCCCGATGTCAATCGATTTCATGCAACTTAGCACCCATGCAGGCAGTCCATGCGACTGGCAGTCCTTTACATACCTGGATCCTCCTTTGGGCAGAAAAAAGTGCCGGACCTCAATCCGGCAAAATTTTCCGCCGGATTCCGAAAAAAACGCCGGAGACCTGAAAAAACATCCGGATCCAAGATTCTGAAAAACAGAGATGATAAAAGGCTGGATCATACACAAGCAAACTGCCTTTGCGCCACGAGTAGTTTTTTCTGGAACACACTCATTCCACAACCCAGCACTGGAGCCTTCCCGTTCCCATTGCCCTCGCCCATCTTCCGAATGGCCTAAGAGCAGAACCATCACAAAATACAAGCAAACTTGTGCCCAAGCAAAGACTTCCAAGAAGAAACCAAGGAGTATGTGGCAAGGAACCCCTATTTCTCTGCACCCGTGTCTCTAATTATTTTTTACAAAGTGGCTCTCCATGATTCTTATATGGTTTTAAATTGTATTAAAGCTTGCCTCAGGACGGCCCCGCCAATAAAGTAGCAGCACTCATGGTTCCTGTCGAAACTCTTAGTTGAAAAACTTTTCAAAATTCAAAAGACTGAGTCCAAAAAAATACGCCGGAGTTACGGGAAATTACGCCGGAGTTACGGGAAATTACGCCGGAGTTACGGGAAAAAACGCCGGAGTTACGACGTGCAATTTTTCTTAGCAACTCTCTGCAAAACATTGAGATTCTGAACAACACATGTTCCACAGCCCAAAACTTGTCCGGCAGGCTCTGCAAACCTGCGCAACTAGAACTAATTATATCCCAGCGCCCCGACATCCTGAAACAGTCGGAGTCCATCTTTGTCTATGTTCTTTCAGCTTAGGTACACCCACTTGGGTCTTTCAACACGTGCATCGCACTGTACCAATTTCATCCGATTTCACTTAGATCACCTAAACGGATCTGATTGATCCAGGGTGAACCATGCTGAAACCGGTGGAATGAGAAAACAGCGGAACAGGCAAACGAGCACACTTTGCAAGCAAATCATTACCTTCAAAGAAATGCAAGCCACAAAGAATGCAAAGCCTTGAGAATCCACATTTCAAGTGACTTGGAAAAACTGCCGGACCAAATCCAGAAAAACGCCGGAGTTGGAAGTCCGGCGCCGGACCCTGTAAAAGTGCTGGACTGAAGATCTAGGTATACATACCGACCGTCCCCAAATCAACCACCCCAACAGATCAGGTCAATATGCCAGTCCCAGACAGGTCGTGCTTGGGGTAAGCGTGTTGGATGTAGTTGAACCTTCGAGTCACAGGACCGGGACCTGCAGGGACCGGCGCAGGAAGGAGCTCTCATCCATTTCGTTGCAGGTTGGAACCTCATTCGTTCGTGTTTGATCAGGCAAATACCACTACAAGGAGTTCACCGAAACAAAATACAAGAGTATCTATCTATCTATCTATCCATCCCCATCCATCCATCGATCTATCTATCTATCTATCTATCCATATCCACCTTGGGTTCCGAATCCATGTGTTTTTTCCAAAATATCTGTTCCGAGATCCATTTCCGAACCCAAACCGAACCGGGTGACCCACCGAGATCGGCCGACTGGGTGACCGGCCCCGGTGCCGGACTGAGGCCCATCGGGCCAGAAGCCCTTGCGATGGATGAGGCGCAGGTGAGCAACCGAACGCGTAGGTGCAGCGAGTGGAAGCGAGATCAACTGTGATTTCGCTACGAGTAGCTTGAAAAGCGACAAGAAAGTGGGGTCAAACGCCGCAACTTGCCTCGATGGTGGTGGCACTTGTCTCAACATGGACATTGTTTTTGCTTACAGGACATGCTGGTGAAGCATTACAGTGTGGAAAACTGTTTCCTTGACGGACAAGCAGAAGGAGGGGTGCATGTCCATATATTTGTATGTTTGGGATGCATGGCCTGGCTGGAAAGTAGCCTGGAACCATATATGTAGCGACGCTGTAGCGATCTCGAAATTAGATGTTTTTGCAGAGGCTCAACTTTAGAAGCCCAGCGATTTGTATTGGTTTTAAGCTCACAGATCCAACAACCCCAATACTTGCACCACCCATAAAAAGATTTGCAAACGTCCAAGTCTCGCGACGTCGAACGGGTTCTTCAGTGGGTTTGGGCACCAAACATCCATCCCAACATGGACAGAATATGACAGAATAGACAACCTCCAGGGAGGTCAACCTGCCATGGGTTTGATCCACCAGAATTTGTTTGTCCCCACCTGCCAGGTGAGGGTTGTTAGATTTTATCAGAGCTCTTCTCCTCTCCACTTCTCTTCTCATATCCTCGTCTCCTTGACTACCGCACCTCAACTGCCAGCTCCAGATCGCAATAAGCTATGCCTCAACCATGACCGGACCTCTAACAGCACGGGCCGGATCGCAGTGGGCACTACCCAACCTCAATCACCAAGGCCAGATCGCAGTGGGCACTACCGGACCTCAACAGCAAGTGCCAGATCGCAGTGGGCACTACCGCACGGGCGCAGTGGGCACTACCGGACCTCAACAGCAAGGGCCAGATCGCAGTGTGCACTACCGGGCCTCAACGGCAAGCGCCAGCAAGTGCCAGATCGCAGGGGCACTACCTGACCTTAACCGCAAGTGCCAGATCGCAAGTGGGAAGTATGGGACCTCAACAGCCAGATCGAAGGCACTGCCGGACCTCAACAGCAAGCGCCAGATCGCAGGGACGCTGCCGGCCCTCAACCGCCAGCTCCAGATCACAGCGGGCACTGCCGGACCTCAACCCCCAGCTCCGGATTGCAGCGGGCGCTGCCGGACCTTAACTGCCAGCTCGAGATCGCAGCTGGATCTCGCTAGATATACAGATAGAGTGTCAGCATAGTTATCGAGTATTTGCCAAGTAGAGTGCCAGAGTTTATGCCAGACAGAATGCCAGGATATCTTTGACGGCAGAACAAACGTCGGAATACATGTCAGCACACATACCAAGACTGAGGTTTGTCCATATGATACCATATGTCACAGCACATGCCAGACAGGAAAAATGTCAGAACACACGCCAACAAAGATGTCAGAACACAGTCCAGAACGTTTCCCAGCCTTTTTGATAGCAATGACGACAGATGATGTGTCAGGGCACAAACCAGACTTGATGCCAGAACAAGCGTGAGAACATCGCGTCAACCGCGCAAATGGCCTTTCAGAGCTTTAATACTTGGCTGCAACATCCCCCTGGCAACTGTTTAGACTTGGGAGCATTGAGGTGCCTCAGTAAGCATGGACAGCAACATGAGTCAAGCATGTCTAGCGCAGCCCTGTAAGAAAATTGGCAGGTACGGTATTGAAGGGTTGGTGGTTGGCTGGCCACTACATACAGGGAGGTCTTGGTGGCCCCTGGTGCAATAAACATGGTGCACGCGTGGCGTTTCACTTTCAATAGGGTTTCTCCCTGTTCCAGCAGTGTTATATCATGTAAACCTGGGCGCCAAGGAGGCACTTTGAATTTTGCAGTTCCATGCAATTCCTGACATGCACATGGCCCACGCGGGAAAGAATGCTACATGCCCAAGTTTTGAGTCGGACAAGCTACTGGACCAGCAGCGCTCGAGTCCAATGCTGCTATAGTATGTTCTCAATCCTTCGGTGCATGACTAGCCGGATCAGATGCTGGAGTACCGATAGGATGTCAAATCTTCAAATTGAGCAGCGCTAGCACGTTTTCAGGCGTGTGTTATTCATCATCATGGCTCCAGGACGTGCAGTCGGTCTTTTCAGAGCACAGTTGCGCGAAACACATGAGCTCATGCCAGGCATCACCAGACACCACACACCCAAAAAGCAAGCGGCCGTTTGCGTGTAAAAGTTCAGGCTCCGATGTGCCTCCTTCAGCGTGGCGCTGGACAAGGAGGCAGGCCCTTTGTGTCCAAAGCTGGAAACTGAAGCAGGTGTTGAGACAGCGCAACACTGTTGCACTTTCTTCGGCGCATGAGAAGCAGGACTGTAACGTCAGAACATGCAATCACTTTTTTCGCCATTGCAAGGCAAGAGCGCAGTTCTGAGTTCTGTTCACGCGCGTGAGGCCCGCATTTCTTTGACGAGGTGCCTTTGAGGAAGGCAGGGCTTCCATCTACATGCGTCGGTATGATTTGAGTTGAACTCTTTGAGCCAGCACAGGCACGTCGGCAAGGGTTGTTTGATTTTTAAGAAGGACTGTTGCGGGTTGCGGATTTTGTTCCAATTCTAAGTTGAGCCTAACTGAATTCAAAATTCAATTTAGTTATCTTAAATTTCTTTGTAGTCCAATGTTAAAAGTTTATATGCTAATTTAATTCTAGCCCAATTCTAATTATGGTTGGCTATTTTAGATCCAATTGAATTCAATTTTGATTCTAAATTTGAATCTACAACATACTTCTAATTTAGTTCTACTTGAGCCTAAAAGAATTCTATATAACTATATTCAAATTGAGGGTACAATTTACTTCTAGTTCAATTCTAATTGAAGTTAAATTCTAAACAATACTGTTCTGCTTTGTGACCTGCGTTGGCCTGTTTATTGAAGTGCCTCTGTCAAACATAAGAAGCTATTTACTAATTCCTGGAAACTATTTACTAAATTTACTATATCCTGGAAACTATTTGCTGATTCCTGGAAACCATTTACAAATTCACTGCTGCTAGCCATAAGCGCATTATTCTCCTGTTGTTGCTATTCTTTTATTCCTGGAAACTGTTTACTAATTCCTAGAAACTATTTACCACTTCTTGGAAACAATCCACTAAATCTGGAAACACAATTTGCTAATTATTAGCTGCTAATTGGGGGTTCTTGCGAATCATTACCAGGACCATAGATTTATGTGCTGATATCATATCTCACAAAGACCTGGGACCCGGTATACGATCCATGTAAACATTAGGTGATGTAGCCTAGATTGTTAAAATCTACAGCGCCGCGCGATTATCCTGAATCGTTTGCGTGCAACCACACAGAGTGTTTCCTTCTGCTGATCAAGGTCTAGGCTAAACAACTCTAATTAAATTTCACCTTTTTAGTTCTAAGTCAATTTCAGTTTAAGTATTTCAATCAATGTAAGTAACGGGTTTTGGTTCAATGTTGTTCAGTTCTAATCTATTTCAAGTTTATTTCTCATTTAGTTGTAACTTTGTCTATTCCAATTTACTTGTAATTGATTTCTAATGTTAATGCCTTTTTGCAGTTCAGATTCAATTGTTTTACTCATCAAATTGTACACTACTACTGTCATTTGTCATTGCAATTTGACTTTGACTTCTATATGTCTAGCTCAATTCCAATTCGATTCTATTTCAACGCAAATGGAATTCTGATTCAGTTTTGATTTCATTCTAGAGAGTGGGTGTTGCTGGGGGTGTGAGTTTAATTCATTTAAGAAAGCAAGTGCTTCTACGTTGAAACAATTACATATAATTTCTCATGTTCAAAACAACACCTAATCTCTAGAAGTAATGAGAGTTTGGTAAAAATTGAAGTTAAATTGAATAAAAAGATATTTGAATTGAATCTGAGTTGTATAGCAATGAAATTAAATTAGCTTGAAATCAAATGAAAATTAAGCCTGCATTGAACCCCAAGTAAATTGAATCTACGTGAAGAGTTTGAATCAACCTAGAATTTAAAAATGAATAGACTTAAGATTGAATTCAAACATCAATAGTAGAGTTGACTAGATTTGAAATGTAATTCAACTGGACATAAATTAGAATTTTGTTATTGCCTTCTGATTCTCATGTACTTACCCAACTGCATTCAATAAGAGCAATGCAATTCACACTCTAATAGCAAGAAATATGGTTTTGCATGGGGGTTGCATGGAATTCGATTGCTACATCCAAGAACTTTTTGGTGAACACCTAACCTTATGGATTCAGACATTTTTGTAGTACATTGTTGAAAGAGGATTAATCTAGATCAATCTTCAGAACCCTGATTTCTGCAACCCACAACAGTCCCTACTCTTGTTTTTATGGCAGCATTATTTTCGTTCCTTTGTTCTACAATCAGGATGCAGGCATTGGGAGCGTTTTGGATGCATACTGCTAAGTCTGAATTTTGGTACATTCGCACCAGACTAACAAGGTCAGATCCCCTCGTAAACATACACCCTCTTGGAAGACTTTAGAACCACCAGAACTTGTTCAGAAGTGATCGAAACAACAGTGGAACAGCTTTAACTTTTAAGCCACTCAGTTTGCTTGGTGGCAGGAACTGCTAGCTGTTCGTGGGGCTCACCCGGTCAGAAACGAGGACCGGGCAAATGGGACATGCTGAGAAATGGTTGGACAATTGTTGCCAATTGCGGCCAAGAGAGAAAACATGCGCAACGGGGCAGCATTTTTTTGAAGAAACATCAACGTACTTATATAAGCAGTTGTTTTCCAAGACCATGCCGAACATATTTTGCTTGATTCACACATTGTAATTATGTGTCTATGGAATGGCATTTGGTTTGTTTTTGTTGAGGGGTTGTTCTTATTTTTTGTTCCACATGAACATCCACCATTAAAGAAGAAACAATTTGGAGGTTGCTTTTGGAAAGCGTTTGACATTCAATAAACAATGTGTTTAATGTTGCGACAAACCAATTTGATTGATTTTGTCTCTTGATTTTGTTGGATTTCGGAGTTAATGGAGAGTTTCCCTTAATACATGCCATAAGAAGTGATTTGTATAATATAAATATATGAATTGAGAGACCCAAGTAAGATGAGTTGATGAAACCACACAGCACGTTGCCAAGGTTGCGTTGTGGTCTCCGCAGACCAAGTTTTTCAAAACACTAGTATGTATGTGGATCTTGGTGCTGGGGTTGCATAGGATAGGATACGACACAAGACTCTGGCACTTCCGAATCTTGAGGGTGCACGACCAGGATCCAATTTTGGGCAGAATCCTATGATTTGTTTGGAATTATTGATTAATTACTGTAGTTGAACTATAGATGAACTATATAGTTGTTTTGTCTACGTTCCTTTGCAATCTAGTAGAATCGCAGACCAACAGAAAGCCTGCGCAACATTCCAATGGATTTGTGACCCTTTTTTTCAATGTTTTCCTGGGCGCTTGCAGCTCCTCGCTTCAGGACCCTCCTTTTGTAGCTCAGCAGAGAGGCAGGATCGTTTTCCCCCTGAAGAATTCCTGTGGATCGTTTTCCCTTAGAGCAATCAATCGTCAACTTTGGACCTTTCATGCGAAATCAATTCATTATGTTCCACTTCCGCTTCCTTTCATGTTCGTTCGTATTTTGTTCGTTTTGTGTGTTTGTGCTCGGTCAATCGGCCGGGTGAGTCAACCAGGAGCCTCCTTCTTTGATGTGCCCTTGCGCAAGGACGGTCTTCCCAGCGCCGCAGCTGGGGGTCTGTGAGTTAAGTCCGCGCTACCTCAGGCTGAGGTCAGAGGATCTTGTTTTGCTTGGAATCCACTGATTACGTAACTGCCTAAGCTAATCATGGAACCAGGTCAAGGCAGGTATTTATTGCACAATGTGTTTCATTCATCTTGGGATTCGGAGAAGGCGGAGGTTTTTGGCAGATGAATGGCTTGGCCCTGCTGTGAGGAGCTTTTGGCAGCTCAAAGAGCCCATAAGGCTCAGCGATTTTACCGAATCCTAGGGGCCTGGTTTGGGTCCCTTTCAGCGCCTGTCGAAACATGTAAAACATTATCATGTTGACACAAAGGAAGGATTCACCTGTTGTACAACTACAATCTAGGGGGGTCCATTTGTTAGCTGCACTCAGAAATACTTCGTGACAAGCAGTCATGAAGTAGGCAGTTCAAAGCGTTCTTTGCAAGTACATCTTGCCGGCGCAGTGAGATTTCCCTTGCCGCTACAGGATTGCAATGGATGTAGATCTCTGGCGTCGCCACAAGCACCCCATGTTCTTATCATCAGGCGTAATAATTACAAACATGTTGTTGATTTCCGAATGGGATTTGTTTTGCTTGCAACGAGGAGTCTTTACAAATCAACATGGTTAATTTGTCATTCAACTTTTAATGCTATGCATTGCTTCTAGACTACGATGGTATGAGGAATTCTTAAGCTCCCGTGGAAGGAACGTGGAAGCATGTTTTGCCTATGTTCAGCTATAGCTTTCGACCGCCAGCTGGTGCGACCAGGACAGCCTAATCCATGGCCTTTTTAAGGAGCAACTAAAGGAAGGAGGAGTTGGGAAGAAAGCCACAGTGACACTAAGAGTAATTACACGCTAGCCCAGAAGGCTTTTGGTTTATCATTGGATACGGGCTAGCGTATTGGCACTTTGCAAAATGCTGGGTGGCAAAGGGTACACATGTTGTTTGACTTGTTACCTGGACCTTCCAAGTATTCAATACCTTAGACATCCTTAGACCATCTTAGACCCGTCGGCAACGGTGGCCTTGCAAAACTTATGGCCCAGCTGGTGCGGCAACGGTTGCCGGACTGAACACATTGGAGCTTTTGGAATCTTTTGGATCACATGATGTGCTTTTGAACGTGAACAGACGGAACACATTTGAGCTTTTGACATCTTTTGGATGTGTGCTGTTGCAAATGGAAAAAGTGGTCCCTTGATCAGGTCCCAGGTGGTGTTTTGGATACTTCCAGCATCACTTGGATCTAGAGTGTGAATTGGTCACTGCCAAGTGGTGTCTAAACAACAGGAAAACATGTTTTTTCCAAAACCCTTGACATGCTGGTTTTGGCATACTTGTTGGCTTTGTACTTTCTCGAAGCACTCCAAGAGTAGACATAAAATGTTGTATTATATATAAATTCCAATGTTTGTCACTGAGTGATATTGGGCAACACTAACACATTGTCTTTGTATCACTATGTTGAAAAAGACCTCAATCAACCAACGTCGTCATCATCATCATCATCATCATCATCATCATCATCATCATCATCATC